TGCAAAGTTGTGTTGACAGCCTCAAATGCTTCCTTGTGGGTCATGGTGCATTCATCCCACACTATTAATGCAAGGATCAGTCCCCTTTGAAATGTTGCAAACAGGGGACTCTTGTCGGGATAGATCTAATGGAAGTTTGAATGTGGAATGGGCAGTTCTTCCTCCAGTAAGCAGAGTGGCTGTAATCCCTTATGATGCCACAACTGGAGCATTTTTTTCCCTCTGACGAACCTTAGCCAGGAGCAGGTTGAGAACAAATGTCTTCCCAATGCCGCCAGGTGCATAAAGGAAAAGCACGCCCTCATTTTTTAGACTCAGTGTTTTCCAAGAATTTCGTGTAGGCTTCTCTCTGTTAATCCATCAGCTTTGGCACATTTTCTTCAATAAAGACAGGAAGTTCCAAAACATCATAGGAATTTCACATAGGATCTCTTGGGCAAAGGCATGCGGTTTGTCCCTGGATGGTTTTTGATAGTCCCATAGACTCGAGGTCTTTCCCACTAATGGAGAGAAGTGTGTCTTCAATGAAGAGAGCCTAGTTAAAGATGATATCAGAAAAGTTCACCTCGAGTTTGGGATTTTCTCTCTCTGAGCTCTGTGGAGGATGTCCTCACTCATGCCCTCCTTGTATTTCTGCCAGAGGCCCATGGGGTTGTATGTGCTGCAAACTTGAAGAGTGGTGTAGAAGAGCAATCTTAGTTGATAAGAGAATTGTCATGGCTTCATCAAGGTGTTGATCATCTTCAAGGATGCCACAAAGATGGCAAGCTTCCCTGTCTGCTTGACAGACAACTCCTTCCACTGTTCTGAGGTCTTGGAATGATTATGGTCCTTTGACAACATGGAGAAGCATTCGCAGAAAGTAGCACTCCTGGTTGTTGGGATGAACAATGTAGACTCTACCTAAGGCATCAAATTCACCATCACTAGCATGTCGTTTTCATTTGTTTTGTGCAGTCCAGGTGTAGTAGGAGGGAACTTCATGACAGAGCAGCTTGGAAACAAATGGGTCACTTTGGCACAACTCAAAAATTTCATAAGTGTTTTATCTTTGGGAGCCAAGGCATGTTCTTGAGCATTTCACTCAGTGAAGTAGATGTGTTGTTCATTTTCGAGATGAATTGCCAAATGGACCACTGTGGGGGAGCGCTCATGGATGGGGAAGCCAAGAATTCTCCAAATGGCCTCATTGCTGCTGATGTATCTTCCCATGAAAAAAGCTGAACTTTATCACACTTCCCCTCTTTTTGCAAGGCAAAAGCAAACATTTTGATCCCTTGTTGATATATTTGCAAATATATTTGATAGATTTCACAGACTTACAGAATTCCACATTGATGTGGGCCTCAAAGAACTTGCACAGAATAGGGCAGTAGGGAACGATCCATCAGTTGTCAACCTTCATTTCAGAGTTAGTACCAGGTCTGAGCATTGTTTCAAAACCACCAGCTTCAAGTTTTTTGTGATAATATAGAGGATTGCCAATATGTCCTGTCTGAGTTTTTTGCAAGAAGTTTCTGGGATACTTCTTGGTGCACTTGTGGTCTTGCATACAGGGTGAATTTGGACTGAGCTCCCCACATGGGCCATGGACCATTTGCTTGCAGACTGCATCAAATAGGCCAGGGTCTTTCTCAGGGTCAGTTGGCTCAGCACTGATAAATGTGTCAGTCTCACTTGCATGAACCATACCAAGATGTGGGCATGAGGAAGGCCACGTTTTTGCCACTAATTGGTGCACAATTTGCATCTTGTCTTCTTAAAGACACCATCATCCTTTGTAGTGATCAGCCTCATCAGTTCATCAATATTGAGTTTAAACATTCTGGCAATGATGTCATGTCTCTCTGTTGGCTTTAGGTTTTGATAAAGCTCAACTTGAACCTCCTTCCATTTTGGATTGCCATATTGCCTGACATAGGTTATCGCATCTTGAGTCCTCTCATGCATGTATCTTGATCCACCTGTGAAGGATGAAGGCAAAATAGCCAATCTTCTAACATTCTGATCGTTTGCACCTCCATCGGCATCGACAGCATCCCTGAGATTAACATATCGTTATATATGCAGGCGTTTTTGATTGAGTTAAATGTCACGAAAGTGCTCACTCTCAGTTTTGAAGTACTCATCCACAACATACTGGTTAAAAAGGTTGGCACACCTTAAGATGTGGTTTCCTCCTTTTCTGTCCATAATCATGAAGGAACAGAAGTCCTTGGAACAGACAGTTTTGTTAGGATGAGCTTGGCCTATTGCTTTGATAATCTTAGGAATCTGGAAGTGGTACCCATCTTGACTTTGCCACAAGAATTATGGGATATTGTAGGGCATCATAGACTCTATTTGTCTCAGGAATTCGTTTGATGATGTTGTCTTGGTATCGAAGAACAATGTTTCTCTTACCATGCTCTTCACCCACCATAAGAACAGCGACTTCATCACAGAAATCTATTCGAAATCTTTCTAAGTGATTAATCAAAGTTATATTACTTCTAGCCTAATTGTGTTTTAGGACAGAATATCATATTATAACCACACTCTATTAGCTATCACTTAAACTAAATTCGCTTTAGAAAAACAAATAATACACATCAGTAATGAACATTTCTAACTAAATCCTTCTTAATACTCCAATGATTTATTTATTAAAGATACCTGCCACTTTTTTTGCTTGAGTAACCAGTTTGAAAGTTTTGTAAAAAAATACTATATCTCTTAAACCTTTATAAAGTTCAATGCACTATGTATTCCGCCAAAGAAACTATAAGGCTAAACAAATGCACAAGAGTATTTCTAGTGTATTCCAATAAAGATTTGGCTTAGTGAGAACTTAATAAAAATCCTGGTGCTTCACCAGTCTACTGCTGATGAAACGAAGATGTACATGAATATGCGATATTGAGTCATTATTAACGAATAAAAACTTTAGAAATATGAAAAAAAAAAAATTTTTGAACACATTTCTTAATCTAAAATGATTAAAAGTGCAAAGTTTAAAATGAAAGTGCACAAAGTTTTCTACGTCATAAAATGAAATCACTGCAAGGCGACCCCACTACTACTGCGATGGCGAAATTAAATATTTTCTCGTTGCATCTGTTGCTTTTATGAGAGAATTAATTTTAGTTGTTGTTTTTTTTTGCTATGTTTCAAAATTTCGAAAATGTGTTTATTTTTTTCAAATAAATTAATTTGTGCAAACGAAATTCAAACAATTATCATGAAAATATCGAACAAGTGTTTCGATACAAGATTTGGTTTTACATTAACAATATATGTTTATGGACTGGGAAAACATTATATATTCACCCTAGACAAGATTCTCCCATGTAGCTGCAATCCTTTATCAAATCGTCTTTTTGAAAGCCCACTTCATCTCGAACAGATTCATTTAGTGACAGGTAGGCAATAGCCACATTGATGTCTCTCTGTTCTTCTCTTGTCTTAGGATCTTTCGAAGACATTGCAAATATGGATCGAGGCTAAGAAGAAAAAAAAAAGAAAGGTAACCAAACAAACGCCTATCAAGACACCTTTTGGCAATACGTCCAGAAGAGGTAAACTTGGTTTCTTAAGGCTGCTAATACACAACATGTATGTATAAAAATTGTAACATATTTGTTGTGGCTTTTGGAAAAATCCCAATAAGAAGACAATAACATCCTCTATTCTCTCTTTCACACACACACGCACACTATTCAGCGAGAATCTATGTTAAAGGAAGACCAAATTCGTTCAAAGTATAATATTTGGAGCTAGTGTGTATTTTACAAATATTCGTTTTCTTAGTGCTTGTGTGTGTGTGTGTGTATGTGACTATTCGAATACAAGTGAATATCATGGTAATTATTTATCGTTTAATTCAAGTACCAATGACAAGTATTATTAAACCATATGAATTTCCACCAGGATCGTCGAGAGCCAGCACGGGCCCCCTTTTTCTCTTTCTTTTTTAACATTTTCAAGAATATATTAAAAAGAAGATCCTAAATTAGGACAGCAACGAGCTCATAAACCAGACAAAATCATAGCAGCAGCCGTTTTTACCTCACAGTATAAGCGTAAAAACGTTAATAAAGTAACAACAAATATCTATTAAATCTATAAAGTAACAAATACATATTAATTATTATTTCAGTCATTCTTAATGTATCAAGCATCTATATGCAAAGAAAAGCCAAAAACTATGGTTTTTATCATTAAATGAAGATAGAGCCTAAGGATGCTTTGCAGGCTTTACGGCATATCCAGGTTTCAATCGCCCAGGCCCCTGAGCAGTTGCACCCCTCCTGTTAATTTAATTGAAATAAATTAATAGTAAAGGTGTTTAATTAAACTTTGAACCTAACATTGTGACTTGCACAAAAAAAAATGATTAAAGGGGTACCCACAGTTAAAGGGCAAAAATTTATTTTAATTTACATATATTTTAAAAGAGAGTCAGTGTTAAAAACTTGCATATTTAATTAAATATTTTTCAACCAATCATGATGTGTCCCATGATGCTGAAATTTTAGGGTTTTTACTTCTATTATTAGTTGAAAATGATTTAATGCCAACCATCCCCTAATTTAGCAGTGTAAGACTAGAGGGAAGGCTGCTAGTCATCACCACCCACCGCTAACTCTTGGGCTACTCTTTTACCAACGAATAGTGGGATTGACCGTCACATTATAATGCCCCTACGGCTAAAAGGGTGAGCATGTTTGGTGGGATGGGGGCGCGAACCCGCGACCCGCTGATTGCGAGTCGAGCGTCTTACTCACCTGGCCATGCCGGGCACCTCTTTAAGTATATTTTATTAATATTTATAAACTAACTCAACAAGTGTAATCAAGTCTCACTGAGTGTTGAATGACAACCAAACTGTTAAAAGTAATTTTAATCTATTTTGTCATATTACAGATGAACCATCTAAACACTTTGTTGTATCTTAGTGTTCAATAGACATACACAAATAGTAATAAAGTGATAAGTTATAATTGAAACAAACAGCTTACCTGAACAGTCTAGAACCTCTGTGTGTGTTTTCTGTCGACAGCAACCTTTGCAGAGCATATAATCGCACTTAGTACCCTAAGTTTAATCAAAATTTTTAACACTTTAGTATATTTGCAAAATAATAAAAACAGAATGTATGTAATAGGTTCACAAACTTAAAACACATCAAATTTCTTTAATCCCTGACAAAGCCCATACTCAACAAACAAAGAGAACTATATAAGGTACTAATTATAAGAGTACAGTTTTTACAGTTAAATTAAATGAATAATAGAAACAAAAATCTAATGTTACTTCAAGTGTATTTTCGGACACACATTCAGCTCTAAAACTGCCACAATCTGACATATTCCTGAAGTAGTTAATAAAATGTCTCATCCATACAAATGTCCTAAGAGCTACAATAATGATCCTCATGGAACAAGATTTGAAATGTGTTAGTTTAGTATCTTGTTTGTTTTTTGTTTTTTTTTGTTAGGTTTTATTGACGCTTAAAGAAAAAAAAAGAACAGATATAATATTAATTACTCAAAGTAATTTCTTTCATGGAAATTAACATGATATATTGGTAACTACTGACTGAAAGGTTTCATGTGACAGGGAAATTCAGTAACATTAATTTATGAATATAGCCTTTATCTTCAATTTTTACAAATATCCTAGTTACTGTAATCAGTTCAAAGATAGTAGGTATTAATTAGGGAGAGGATTTAAAAAATGCTTCAGATTTTGGTAGTTCACATTATACAAGAGCTTCAATAAGTTTAGATCACACAAGAATGTGAGGAAAAAAACAAAAAAAACTTACTTTACTGTTACAAAAAAATTGTTTTTTTTTAAGTTTGCACAAAACTACATGAGGACTATCTGCACTAGTCTTCCATAATTTGGAAATGGCAGACTAGATGCAGTGCAGTTAATTAACACCACCCACTACCAGCTCTTGTCAGACCAAATATACTGTTTGAAATGGTTCATTTACAATAAAGTAAACATCCTACTAGTTGCTATTCTGGTGCAACGAAATTTTGTTTACAAGACTACTATACATACTTCAGGTACATATTTGTAGCCTATATAATGGAAAAGAAGCAAAAGATTGTGACACTTGATCATCGGCAAACAAATTGTAACCACCTAGGACAGTCCATTCCAAAATATATGATTTTTTTTATACTGTTAAGATAAACATTCAACGTACTTTAGGATTAGGACACTTTAAGCACATAAAGAATGCTTCTTTTTGTTGGCCAAACTTCTTTTTTGGATTCCTTTTCAATTTTTTTAGTTTCTTCTTGGATAAAGATTTATCTTGGTTTTCTTCATAAGGACGCTTCTGTGCAGCAAACCCACCATTTACAACAGCATCTTCATTAAGCTGCCGTTGCTGTTGATCACGAATTATCTGCTGTTTCCGAAGAGTTTCTTCAGGGCTTAAAATAAATACACATTTTAAATAAAAGTGCATCTTATTTTTCACTCATAAGCCAAAATAACCAAAACTGTAAATTTTATTCTTTAGTTTACAAATTATGAACAAAAAGCTAATCCTTTCTACATACAAGTAAAATTTGCATAATATTTTCATTAAAATACAATCTAAGTATTGGTTCACCTTAAAAATATAACACCATCACATCCAGTCCAATAACTTCCAATATCATACTCATAATATTTTGTTAATCCATATTATAAGTGTATTTCACTAAATACAGAGCACAATATCTCGATTTAGACATCAACATCATTAATTTAAATTCTAAGTTTTCAAAAAAATAGACACAAATTTACAGTTATAAACTTTCCATTTCAAAATATGATATTCCAAACAACTTATGTTGCAATGTTTACTATTCACAGCTTATTGGATACAGTAGAATTTGTCCAGGATTACAAGACTTTGTAGATAAGAATCTGTAAGTTCATTCTCATGTTTCTCATTGAATTTTTAAGAACAAAATTCATTCATTTTTGTAGGAAATTTAATAATATTTTTCCTACTGATTATGGGTTTAGAAGTTTTACAGAATATCATGACTTTTTAGAAACTTTCAAGTCTACACTAATTCCTTTGAATTTGTTTAGGGTAATATTGAACAACCTTATAACATTGACCATCATTGATTATTATCTCCCATTAGTTTAAGCTCTTATTAAACATAGTTAATACTAGCTCATAAACAGTCCAGTTTATAGTATGACTATTTTATTAGTTTAATTACCTTGGTTTTTGCTAATTACTTGCTTTGCCGAATCAATGAGTGTTGTAACTTTCTAAATTTTGTATTATTATTATTGAACTTACTAGAGATTGACTGCATTTCCTTTTTGGCTTTTACAGCAGATTAAAATTAATTAATTTCTTCTGTTGTCTGCTCCATGTGTTTTGCTGAGTGACAAAAGTTAGTTAAGAGTGGATTGGAAAAAGTTTTGTTAGCCACACCTCACAGTATGTTTAATATTTTTTTTTGTATTATATTTAATGTTCTTACACTTTTATTACAGAACCAATATTCTAGCTATTTTGTCAGATATAAAAGACTGTTTACTGTAAGTAGAATTATTAATTGATTTATTTTGTGTAGCAATCCATTGATGTCGAGGCTATAGAGATTTCTAGAAGGCCTAAGTGATAGACATACAAGTAATGGCGACCAGACGTAAAGTCACATGACAGAGAAGATTTGTCATAGAAAAGTTAAAGGTAAAGTTAACCATCATGTGAGTGAAAGGCCTAATGGTTGATATACGAGAATGAGATTAACAATTTTGAAATAGATCGAGAGAATTAGTTTTTTCTTCAAAGGGTGTTCTAAAGTAGTTGAACAAGCCTCACTGGACTTTAACAAAAGGCAGACGATTATTGGAAGTACAGGATCCAACTGAGGTAGCCCAACAACAATGTAATTGAACTATATATGTATGCTATTGTGATAGAAATAGAGAAGAAAATAGATAGCTTTGTCAACTGAGTTCTAAAGCAATTGAATTGGTCTAAGTGGACTTTTGACAAGAAGACAACTGTATAGTGTTTAAGATGGAACTACGATCTCCATAGTGTAAAGAATTTTGTACGTACGTTTGACTTGTTTCGACTATATATGTATATATTATTTTAAAAACAAGTGGAGTGTGTGCTGTTCATTTATTGTTGAATTTATCGTCAACAAGTCACAGATACCTGCTGTAGAAGAGTTCTTAACCCAACACACCCATATACTTATATTACTATATACTACTCAAAAAGTAAGCAAGTTCCTGACATATTTATTGGACAATTCAAGCATTCTTTTAATTTCTTATTTTTTATTTTGTATCTTCATAAGCATTACTCTTTAACTATACTCTTGATAAGTTTCTACCACTTGATGACACATATAAACAGTAACACAGTAATGTTCCAGATACCAATCTCCTCTTAAGTTACAGTGAAATTGTTATTTAATGGGTTTTCATTGGACACAAGTCATGGTTAGGAAGAATTGAAGAAAATTCAGGCAGTTAGACTGAATTACATTTTTCAATGAAAATTAATGCTATAAAAGTACTTGGAATAAACAGCTAATGTTTGTGTGTGTGTTCCCTATGTAAGATATGCTGTATTATTTCATTACTGTTACTTTCATTAACAGTACTGGTAAAACTGTTTAATATAACTAATTTTATTTCTTTTTTAACTTAACTGTTTATTATAAAGATTAATTTACATTGCTTAATATAGGTACTTAGGATTCATCTTAATCTCCTAATCTGGCCATACTTCGTGAGATATTATTAGGATTATGGCCAAACATACTGTTAACAGCAGGGGTAACCAACTGATGAGAGAATACATTTAAATCTTTCTAAGTAGGAACATAAGAAAAGTACATTCAATTAGCTATAATTGTTAATAGGTTGATTTTTTATCTTTGCTCAATCAGTACAAACTGATAGCAAATAATTTGAACAAGGTCACTAATCAACTGTAACAACATCCTTTCAGATTCTAACAAGTCTTGGAAATCACTTATCATAAAAACTAATTGGGTACCTTAACTTACCTCTCACCTACAAAATGAATGTGCAACCTGCATGTCAAACATATATTGTTACTGAAAATGTACAACAAACTTCACCAAATTATCTTTCAGACCACAGCCACAAGTACAGTCTACAGTGACTTCTATGGAAGTACACAGTGTGAAACATCCTACATTATCTTTCAGACCACAGCCACAAGTACAGTCAACAGTGACTTCTATGGAAGTGCATAGTGTGAAACATCCTACATTATCTTGCAGACCACAGCCACAAGTACAGTCTACAGTGACTTCTATGGAAGTACACAGTGTGAAACATCCTACATTATCATTGCTAATTCACAACAAACTAATTCTTTAGAGGTCAAGTGACCCACAATTTAGAATAAGTCTTTTGCAGTAAACTAGACAAGTTTAAACAGCATGGACACATTTTTCTTGTGAAATTAGACTTACACTCATTCGTACAGAAGTAAGCAAGTGCAGAATAATTGACAAAACTTCTATCAAGGTACACAACCAACAACACTGACTTCTCTCATCAGTAGAAAGTTATGATTACAATTGACATTAAATGTTCAGGAAATTCCAAAGTTTACTAATAATAATATATAATAAAAGTTATGTGACAGTAGACAAAAGTAGAAACTTATCCTAATTTCCTTGGTAGTAGGTAAATGCACCAAACAAATAAACTTCTCAGATAAAAGACAAAAGTAGAAAAATATTTATTAACATATTTGATAAATAGATAAATGCTACATGACCTACATAAACTTCTCTGTATACAAACTTATGCAATAACTTTCAAAGAAGTTGACATGTACAACCCAACTTGTAGTAGAATGATGTATAACAACCTATATTAAATTTCCATGTTGGTAAACAGGCTGAAAAAAGTGATGGCAAACTTTGCACAAAGTTCGAAATGTTGTCCAAAACTAGACAGAAAGCAAGAGCACTCCAATACCTCAACACTGTCTAAAACTTTCTTTACACAAAACAAAGACACCATTTTTCAGATAGCTGACTGATGTACAATAATCTACAATTATTTGAAAATAACATCCTAACTTTTCTGCAAGGACTCTCAACCTAGAAAGGTATGCATGTGTAATAACACCCTACACTTACATCTGTGGCTGAAAGGCATATTAACCACTTTTGTTTGCAAGTAATCACACTCACCAAATGTACGCGTACATCATTAAAAAAGAAGGTTAGTTTCTTCTCTCATACACGGCACAACTCACAAAAGGTTTCAGTATACTTACACAAACCTTCATCTTTGTCTTAATTTAACCCTTCCAATACAGGTTGGGTGGAATCCACTCAGCTCACAACCATGAGAGTAATTATGCTATGATATTTGATAATGTACACATATCTTAATAAAATTTTGCAGGTTATTCTTTCAGTTGAATAACCAAAAAAATCATAAATTACTATATCAATACCACAGAATTCTACTAAAATTTATCAAGTTTAGTAACTAAGCTGTATTTTAGTCTAAAAAAAATGATATTTTGAGCAGACTATAGATACAACCTACCTCTTTGAAACCTTGGTTTGAAAGAATAAGATGGCATCCTTACACTTGAAAATGGCTGAGAAAGCCACTAGGGGGACATTTCGAGCTTTTGATTGGTTATTCAGGTCATATATTGAAGTAAGTGAATATAAGGGACCGTTTCCAAAAATGAAAAGAGGCAAGTGGGGCCACTATGTTTGATTCAGTATATGAGTGATATCTCAGTAAATAAAAAAGATATGAGGTTCATATTTTATATTCTAGCTTATCAATATCAGTAATTTGAGTTCCTAATTCTTATGAAACTGTAGACTTTGTATTTTGACATCACAAACTTCTAATCTGAAACAGTGCTGCATTCAACATACCACATGACACACAAATATAGATGTTTAACTGTTTTTTTAATATTTACTTTTAAGAAATTTAATAATGTTTAATACTAAAATTCGAATTATAATCTAGAGTTTGATACCAAACTTACTGACATAAACTTATGAAATAGTAGTTCAAACAATTTTGAATGTGAGTCAACAAATGCAATGACATGGCCTTTGAACCCTGTCTGGAAAGGGTTAATTACACATATACTTATGATAAAAATTTTAAATCAGAGCTTATCAAACCAAGATGGTTATAGCACAAAGTCTTAAATAAAATGCTATTATTATGAAACACATTATCTTATAGTGTATAATTCTTTCATTTTGAGTGAAAAGGCTTCATTAGCAGCAGAAAACAACAAACAGTGTCTAAAGAAATTATTAGTTACATTGATCATTTACAAAACATCACATTTTATTGTGTATAAAACTCTTGTACTGAGTGAAGGGTCTTCACTAGCAGAACTATAAGAAACATACCTATAAGGTGACATGCCACAATCTCATACTTTTATTAGTGATCACACATTCTGAGCATTATCTGTACATTTTTCATGTGTCATAACCAATCACAAAGTAGGTTCAACAAAAACGGTTTAAAAGAAAGTATTTTCTGTGTACAACCAACAGAATAACTAGCACAAATTATATGTCTGGGTATTGTAGACACTTACCATTGTGTTTTATACATATGTGATATGTATGTACACGGAAAACCTGAGTAAATCCTTGGTTTGTTGCCACATCTATATTATAACTGTACTTTAACAAAGTCAATTAATCATATTTTAAAGTTCTGTGCACCTGCCTTTATTATATCACTGTCACTAATGATGTAGAAGTTTTTCTAATACATTACTTTTTTGCAACAAATTCAAGAGATCTACATAATGTAAAATCATAAAAAGGTAAATCATACAATTTATTTTTAAAATCATGCAGAATACACTTGCTTTATTTCTCTTCTTTTATTTATACTTTTATATGATTGCTGCTGCATTTTAGCATTTAAACAATATTCTTATCTCATCAGCTAAAAAAGTGGTTAAGGTGGCTTTTTCATCCGAATGCTTGCAGCATCCGCTCAGACTTAAAGTTAAATGACAGAATTTGTATATTTATTAAGACCAAGTTATTTAGAAATGTTAATTAGTCTATTTATTTAAAATACGTCTTTTAATCTATCACTTGTAAAATAATCTAGCTTATGTTACTTGATAATGAGTGTTCTTTATAATACGGATAGATGTTTTAGCTACTAATAACTACAAGGAAGTGAATTAAGTTTTGAGAGTTACAAAACACAGTTGGTAAATACCTTGGTCTAACATATGGTTGGCATATCCATGGTGGGAAAGGAAGTGTAGAATGGACATCATCTTTCATATCCTGAAAAAATAGAATTAACATAAAGTAAAAACCTGAAATAGTGGTTTTATCACTTATGTAACAAATAATTCTTTTGCTATTTCTACAAAATATTAGAGGATATATGTTAGAAAAGTGCTGAACCTTTTAACTTTGACATTGCTTTGATCCCTAGTGTGGTTACTCATTGAACTAAATTAATTGTTAATTTACTATAGATTAGAGTAAATCAGTAGTAGTCCAATCTATTATTAACTGGTGAACTATTTATGAATAATAAAGTTTTGAAATTATTGTAACAAGAAAAATGTGTCTAATAATAATGGTCGAACCAATTAATAATTGTAAAGTGTCAGCTTAATCTGACCAATACATACAATAAGAACCAGTATATGCTACCAGTAGTCATTAAGAAATGAGCAAAAAAACATCTTTAAAATAAGCTGTAAAAGAAAAAAAAAAAACATTTCACCAAAAGAAAAATTTATTGATATACTTTTATTATGTTACTTATCAAAAAGAAAATATTTTCTAGTTTCTTTATAATATCAGCAATAACAGAGAACAATAAAATATAAAATACAGATCAACGTATGTTAATACAAGACACTGATCTTAGAGGTTTCTAATCCCCATGAATGACAGCCTAACCTAATAACAATCAATCATAACCTGTAGGAACCAGTAACTATGAAGTTCATAGAAGCACACAGAGATATAGTGAACAGCGAGTGCAAATAATTTGTAATACCCATACTACAAACAAAAAAAAAGTGTAGAAAACATTAGATGGTAATAATGGAAAAAAAAAACGAATGTAATTACATGAAGCATTTCTTATATGTTTCTGAATAGCTTACCGGAGATGGAATAAATGCTTCATGTAATTACATTCATGTTTTTCTTTATTATTAAAGTATGTTTTCTAAAAAATGAGTTAATTACTAATGTTAGATGAATTTTCCTTACATTTTATACTTTCCAACCAATACCTAAAGTTTCCATACTTAGAAAGCAATAAGCTTTTAATTTTGCAAAGTGCATGATATGTTTAAAACAAAATTATGTTAGTAAGTTGCTTGTTTTAAAATAACTTTGGTATACAAAAGTCACAAGTTTTTATATCCAAAAAAAAAAAAGTTCATGTTTATGTGATTTGCACTTTGTAAGGCTAATGGACAGTCTACAGAGTTCCACTTGATATATAAAAACATGTAACAATTTACGTTCAATTCATAGAAAACTCCCCAAACTTTTCTCAAAGGCACTGCTATTTAATAATGTCCATAAATAGGCTATTAGATAGCTACTTTTGTTAAAACTGAAACACTAGATATTTTGCTGATGAGAAACAGTTTATCGCATGAGGACAGGCTAAGAAATTCAAAGAAACATAACAGTACCATTTCACTACACTAGTTGTGAATCCTTGTGTTTTACCATCAACCCACAAAATGTATTTTTGTTTATTATTAAGTACATTTTCATTCCTGTGTACATCTTACTCAAGAAAGCCTTCAAATGTAATTATAATACAGATGCTTTAGATATATCTGATGAACATTAACCCTTTCGAGTCAGGTCACAGGTGAAAGGCCATGTCATCTCGTTTATTGATTTGCATTCAAAATTTTATTGAACTACTATTTCATGAATTTATGTCAATAACTTTGGTATCAAACTATAGATTATAATTCAAGTTTCAGAACTATACATTACTCAATTTGTTAATTTAAAAGTAAATATTAAAAGAAACAGATAAACATCAATTTTTGTGTGTCACATGGTATGTTTAATGTAATACTGCTTCAAATTAGATGTTTGTAAATTCAAAATACTAAGTCTATAGTTTCATACGAATTAGAAACTCAAATTACAGATAATGACAAGCTAGAATATAAAATAAGAAGGTAATAAATCAAACAAATAATGCTTGGAGACAGCTTGAATGGGTAATGAAGAAAACTTTAATATAATTTTTAACAAAACAGCAAATGTACAACGTTTCGACAAGGCTTTGTCATTATCAGGTTGAAACATTGTACATTTCTTGTTATGTTAAACCTATATTAAAGTTTTCTTCATTACCCATTCAAGCCATCTCCAAGTATTATCAGTCTCAAAGTGGGTTCCTTGTTCTCAAATAATAAATCAAACATAGTGGCACCCCACTCACCTCCTTCCATTTTTGGAAATTCTCCCTTATATACACAACATGAATAACCAATCAGAAGCTCAGAATGTCCCCCTAGTAGTTTTTTCAGCCTTTCTAATGTACCTAGCACCATTTTTTTCTTTTAAACCAATATTTCAGTGAGGTAGGTTGTCTTTAGTCTGCTCGAAATTTCATATTTTTTTAGACCCAAATACAGCTTAGTT